ATTTGACCAAGTTGCGGATACATATATGTGTGTATAATACGATGGACAATCCATGGTGCCGCAGCTTAATTTGCGTTAAACACACATATATATATTAGCACAGATTTTTGTAAGTACTCTATAGCTGATAAATATTAGTGCTATGGTTATGTGACTAATTTTTTACCTGTTTTAGTATAATTCTGATGAGGGTGCAATATTAGCACCGAAAGCTAAAGAAATAAAATGACATAATACTTATCAATTTGGCTCGTAGATATCGTCTTTGGTTTAATCTTCAAGTTGAAAATAATCCGAGCGTTAAACAATTCTTTTAATTTGATTTTTTTTCTTATTTTAAGGATTTTCTTTAATCTCTTTTTTTTTTATAATTTTTTTGTAATTTTTTAAATTACAATTTTGTTTATTATAATATTTTTATGTAGTATTTGTTGAAATTGTTTCATGTACCTATTTTTATTTTTTTCATTTATTATAGCTTTTATATATTTTTTAATATTACATCTTTTCATTTGATTATTTGTTATTTCGTATTTATTTTATTTGGTATTATTTCATCTTTTATTAAAGTTTTTTTATATTATTTCGCCTTTTATTTTTTCATTTCGTATTTTATTTTATTTGTTATTATTTCATCTTTTATTGAAGTTTTTTATTATTTCGTCTTTCATTTTATTTTTATTTTTTCTTTTATTTTATTTTTCATTATTTGCCTTTTATTTTATTTTTCGTTATTTTCCTTTTATTTTATTTTTCATATTTCGTCTTTTATTTTTTATTATTATTTCGTCTTTTATTTATTTTTATTATTATTTGGGATTTTATATTATTTTTTACTATTACGTATTTTATTTTATGTTTTATTATTTCATCTTCTGTTTTATTTTTTATTATTTCGTCTTTTATTTTATTTTTTATTATTTCGTCATTTATTTTATTTTTTATTATTTCGTCTCTTTGCTTTATTTTTTATTATTTCGTCTTTTGTTTATTTTTTATTACTTCGTCTTTTATTTTTTTATTATTATTTCGGCTTTAAATTTATTCTTTTTTATTTCGGCTTTTATTTTATTTTTTATTTCGTCTTTTATTTTTTTTTACTATTACGTCTCTAATTTTATTTTTAATTTTTCGGCTGTTATTTTATATTTATTTACTTTGCCTTTTATTTTATTTTTTATTACGTCTATTACTTTATTTATCATACTTTATTTATAAATGTTTTATTTTTTTATTTTTTTTATTACTTATACACATGCATGGCGAAAATTGACCAACTGGCACGTCTACCACGGTCATACAACAAAGCCGGACTAAAATTTTAAGTTTAATCTGATCGCGTTATATTTCAGTTTAGTCCAAACATTGCTTTCGTTTTCTGTTGCTATTCAGTCACCTCTTGTCTTATTCTTAACAAAAGAAAATCAAAATTTGCAAGGCTAGAGTTGCAAAAGCTTTTCACACATAGAAAAGATCCAATTTTCCACACTGCTTTGCGCCTTAACTTCAACTGCACATATCACGCCATTATCGAGCTATAAAAATTCGAAAACACACTCCAAAAAATTTTAAAATTCATTACTCTCCGAATCTGGAACGCATCCTCTACTCCGCGACAGTAGCGCAACAACAGCTGCTTCGCCCCACATTCGCAATAGTCAACCACTTAAACTGATTTTCATACAAACTGTTTCGATTTCCCATTCCAATTTTTGATTTTCCTATTCGTTGGGATTGAAAAATGTCTGATCAAAAATAGCTTTTCCCTTTTACATTTTCGTAATAGAACACACCGCAACAGCCGCGAACTGCCTGTCGGTCAAAACTACAAATTTTTTTGTTAATTTAATTTTTTTTTTAGCTAAACGTAAACATTCCTTAGAAAAACACATGAACATCACACGTCATTCGCCTTGCGGCCGGCGAACTTTTGAACACCTACTGCACACATACCATGTATCTACATATGTATGTATGTAAATAAGAGCATTCAAATAGGCGAGTGCATTAGCTGCTTGTGCCCAAACTTAATAGTCACTGGTTCGGTTGACAGTTCTCGCCAACACCACAGTTTGTTTTTCGATTCATTTGCTGGCCGCTAAAATTCACTTTCATATGTTTATTTTTGAAATTTGCTGCTTCGTTTCACTACGAATCGCTTTTGCTTTCCTTTTGTCTAATACATTAGCTATCATAAGTTATTTTGGTGTCTTGCTTATTTTTATTTTAGACTAGTTGAAAAATTATAAATGGCAGATGTTAGGAAGAGGGTGATCTCCATCTGAAAATCTTAATTAATTCAATACGACAATGACTATTTTTGGAATAACTTTGAACATTTTTAATTCGCGGATCACTCATTCATGCAACTAGAAATACTTACATTAAAGGAATTCAAGCAATGCAATTTGGTAATGAAATTAGGTTGGACATTTTAGGACATCACTTGTTTTGTAGAACAATTGAGAAAAATAAAATAAACAACACTCAGATATTTACTAGAGCGGTGGGCGACACGATAACAACTTCGGTAAGACAGTTTACAACAACTGTTCTCAGATCTTCAGCGTCCGTTATGGTCAATGGATTTAGAACTATAGCTTTCCCATGTACACCCGAACTTCGCCGCTGGTGGAAGCAAAAAGTAACACTCGAGGCGCATCGCGCAGTCTTTATTTGCGGTAGAAGGGTTTTTTGATTTTGCATTTCGTTCATAAATTGCATCGAACAGATATTCGCTATGCTTATTTTTTTATATATATAACGCGGATAACATACGAGCAAAATGAAAAGTTAAGACTCTCACTCTTTAGTAAATAATTAAGTGATTAAGAATTAAAAACAAAAAAATACTCACGAAGACGGTAAAACGCCGAAATCGGTTTCAGTCCGATCAGAACTTAACAATGTATGACGGAAATTCGTAAAAAAAAATTTCAAACACAAAATATTTAAAAATCAAAGAAAAGCGCAGCGACATATTTTTATGATTTTATTAACGAAAACACCTGATTCATATTTGTTTTAATTCTACTAATAAAACGTTATATTGAGCTTTTTTTACATTTTCGGATTCGCATATTTTTTTTACAAATTTTTACAGTTAGATTTTACACGTGGGTGGACACAAACGAAACGAGTCGCGCAGCAAACTCAAACAATAAACAGCATTTACATTTGTGCACTAGGGCAAGAGATAACATTAAAAATGGAAATGCAAAGCGAATCCAAAAATTTATATTACACAAAATGAAAAAAAGAAAGAAATATAAAAACGCATTGTCAACACTTCACGTCCCAGTGCATTCATGAACACGTCGTGGAACGTCATGCTATATTATACCCCACTATTAATAAGCGCCGGAAAGAACTGCCGAGTTTTTTTTTTTTTTTTGCATACTTTTATTAATTATTAAATATAAAACAAACAAAAAATTAAAAAAAAACTAAACTCCGGATTTTTTATTAAATAAATAATTCTCAACTTTATTTTTAAAATTTCCTACTGAGTTTCCTGCACCTAACAACATATTACACCCCACAGCGCACCCTAACTACCAAAGAAAAACCGAACTTGCACATTACTGTTATTACATACTGCGTTGAGGGCAAACGAACTATATTTTTGCTGCAACGCCAATGTGCAGTTATACACATACTTATATATGTTTTTACTATGTATGTATGTTAGTTACGTATATTCTTTTCGCTATTAATGGTAATGCTAATATGTTGCTACATAATTATTTTGTTGCTGTTGGAATTGTGTTGCAACATGGTTTTTAATGCTGTCATTTTTGTATTGTTAGGCAGGAAATATGTGAACGGAAGGTGATGGCGATGGCGTCGAAGAACTTCCTCCATTGCCACTCGCTCACCAAGTTAATCAGACGATGGACACGAGTGAGAGTGCGTGCTCAGCCAAGTGTCACCATTTGTATGCTTACATTAAAGTATGCGGGTAGTTAACTTATAGCTATAGGTAGTTGAATAGATTTTGAAAAAAAAAAAAAAAAATTATTGAAAGTTAAAAAAAAAAATATATGACAAGAAAATTTCCAATTAAATAAAAAAGTAAAAAGATGTAAAGTTAAAAAATAAAAACGCAAACAAATAAAAAAAAAACAAAAATAAGAAAAAGAATAAAAAACTAAAAAGAAATAAATGAAAATATGTATATAAAAAAATAAAAGTAAAAAGATTCTTAAATTGAAATATACAGAATAAAATAAAAAATTAATAAATGGAAAAATTTAAATAAAAAACTGAAAGAAAAAAAGAATAAATAAAAATAAAAAATGAAAATATAGACAAAAATAAAACCAAAAAATTAAATCAAATTATATACTAATGAAATACAAAAATGTTGATAATAAAGAAATATGTGTATGTGATAAAAAAATATAAAATAATAATATAATCAATTTTAAATTTATCAGCCTGTTAAAATTTAAAATAACGAATTTTCCGAACAAAATTGTGCAACCGAGCATGAGAATTTTAAAAAACAAAAAAAAGGAATAAGAATTCAAATGAATAAAAATAAAATAGCAATTTCATTTCGTCACTTGGTCGATTTAATATAACTAACCACTCAATCGCTACTATTTAACTCTATACATACTATCAGAAAACATTCGCACAGAATGTCGCCAGAAAAGAAATTCCATTGTCCTATTGGGGCCAATCTGCCGCCTATATTCCACTGAAATAATTAATTCGACGCTTCCAAAACGTTTCCAGGCAGAAATAGGATGTAGGGTGTGTTCCAGCTACCTAATAACTACCGCAATATTGCAACCTTGTCGCTTTCTTTGTTGCTCTGCTGCTGATGCTAAACTAAAAATTAAGTGAAAAGCTGCAGAAAATTGCGCAGTAAATTTTTTTTTAAATTGCATTGGATTTGCTAGTGATGAGCAACTCATTGTCAAAATTTTGTTCGTCGGACGCGCGTAGAACGTGATGCTCTTTCATAAAAAGTAGCACTGCCGCATTAATTGTTACTCTAATATACCCAACGATATCTTCAGATATCTGCGTTGGCGTTTTGGGACGTATCGGATAGCGCTTACTTATACCCACTCAAGGCGAATTCATATAAGGAGGTAGCGATAGGACAAAAAGAAAAACTTAAAGTATAAACAGAATCAAATCGCTCAGAGGAATTCGTTGGAGGAAAGTTCGCTGCCAAAATTAAAACACACGGCAGTATATGAGATTGCACACAACCAAAGCGACGACGAA